AATGACTTAATTATCTAGTTAAATGCTTAATCCTTAGCAGGTTCTTATTCTCTAATTAAATGTACCTTTAGCCGGATATGAATAAAATAAAAATAAATTTTACTTCACTTCCCATACTCTATTGGAAGGAAGGGAGAGGTCCCTCGCCTGGGGGAGAGTAAAGATACTGCTCTTCCCATGCCAGAGAGTATTGCATATGCTGACTGGCAAACTTGTGGTCTCTCTCTCTCTCTGTGTGTGTGTGTGTGTGTGTGTGTGTGTGTGTGTGTGTGTGTGTGTGTGTGTAGGAGCAGGGGAGAGCAGAGGACAATGAATAATATCTTTAGGTATGTCCCTGCAGCTGCATATGTGTCCCCAAGGTGAACTGGGGAGTCCAATCAGAGAAGGAACTGCAATTTGGTTGTTTGCTTCTGACATGTGTGACGGCAAAGCCTGGCACAGAGTCCTCTGTGTCTTCTTATTCCTTGGCTATCTGGGTATAGTCAAGGCTACTACTGATTAGTGAATGGGTGGAAATCAATCACATTTTTATAAACAAAACATAGCACTTGGCCTAAATTCACACCAGTGCAATATAACAAAACCCTCTCACTTTATTAAATATAGTGCCTAGGGGGTTCAAGTAATTTAGCAAAAAATCTGGTGTCCAAAGGGAAGAAGAGCCTCCCTGTTTGGAATGAAGACAAAGGCATGAGATTATCTTCTCTCCCACTAACCTGAATGGCTACCTCAGTGAAGGAGAGTTCTGTCATGCACCTCCACAATTCCTACATAAAACTTTATTCACTGGGACTCCAGGATCAAACCTATGAGCTCCGTGGAAACTGTACAAGAAGGGAGGAAAACAAAACTAATAATCATAATGAACATGAGTATAATTATATTTCAGATGTCACATATACAACACCTGAAATTAACAACAACCATGCAACATACCCATTTTATAGAAGGGAAAACCAAGGTTCGAAGAGGTGTTTGAATACATGTCTCTCTGATTCACACCTCCTCTTTTGCTATTTTACCTCAGCTCCACACCTATGTCATTCTTTTCCAAATATGAATGCCAAAATGCTATCCAGAAGATATAATAGTTTCAGTGTACTTACAGAAAAAAGCTTGCAGCTTAGAATTCTTTACCCAGCAAAACTGTCTTTCAAGAAAAATGAACATAAGAAACCAAAATACAGAACTTTTATTAATAGATGAACAAAAGCCAAGAAAGTTTACCATGAAAAGATCCACACCAAAGGATGTTCTGAAGCAGCCTTTATCAATGTTCCCTAAGAGAATTAAACCCTGCAGAAAGTGTTCCCAGTAATCAGTTTCTTATTGTATCATTTGGATGTATGTTAGAGAAGGTAACTCATTACATACCATGGCTGCTTTAGGGCATTAGAGCTTCATGCTCTCAGGGAACCCCAGTTGAGAAGAGATATTCTAAAGAACACACTGCGAGCAGGAAGAAAATTATTGTGAATGGAAAGTCTGACACTCGAGAAAGGATGCGGAGCCAAAGAAGGATGCTGACAAATATGGTAGTGGATATAACCAAATGTTAACTCAACACAAGTAATGCCAACGTCTAATTTGAGCTAACATCAGCATGGAACTCTAAGACAGGGCAGAAATATCCAGGCTGAGAGGAATGGAATAGCAAAAAAGTGATCAAAGGTTTCTGTAATTCTCAGATATTAACTGTAGACTTTTTCGAATATGCATGTTAATAAACTTAGCTTAATTGTTAAAAATACATCCAGCTCTTAACTTTCAAAAAAATTAAAGGGATAAATAGAATGAGAAAAAACAATAAGAACTGTAAACAATAAAAAGCAAAAAA